GGCTCTCCAATTCCTCAATCCGAGCCGCTATCCCCAGCTACGTGCTTCCTATATATATATATATATATATATATATATATATATATCATATTGGGGCAGCAGATAATTATTTTAAACATATATTGTTAAAAATAACAGACAGCGAATGTCTATTATGTTTGATCATTGGTCGTTGTAAGTTTCGTATAATGGCTTTAGTTTCGGGAAAAAATAACAACAAAACTGTTCAACATTTGATATTTTTTTATTATGCTGTTTATCGAGCTAAGCTTTCGACTCACCTGAGCCCTCATCAGAGTGGTTATATGGACATTACAACAGAGATGTTCGCCAACAAAGTTCATGATCAAAGCAAACTCATAAATTACTTGATAGCATTTCTGACAACATAGACAAGGCTCTCTCCCTCCACCCGTTTGTTCACATTTTCGTGTTTGGAGACTTTAACGCCCATCACACCTTGTGGCTTAAGAATGCTGCTACTGACCATGCAGGCATTCAAACGCTCAATTTTCAATCTCATTCCCTCACACAGATAGTTAACTTCCCCACTCGTTTTTGCCTTCAACCGGGAAGGTAAAAGCCTCTCTACTCGACCTGTGCTTTACCTTCATCCCCGAATCCTGCAGCGCCTCGCAACTCTGCCCTTTTGTTAACTCTGACCATGCAGTCGTATCGGTTAACATCTCCTTTAACTCCACCCCTATAAAGAACCTCCTACCACTAGAACTTTGTTCTATTATCAACAAACTGACCGGGACGCGTTCCGTGATTTCCTCCACTGATGTCCCCTGGGATGGAGTCTTTATGCTCCCCGTCAAGAATGTACTTCTGAGGTCTCATCCTGGGTTAAAGCTGGAATCGACGCTTTCATCCCATCAAGGAAAATAAAGGTCAAGTCGCGCTCCTCCACCTGGTTCTCGGCTGCTTGCTCAGCCGCCATCGCATAAGGAACCACTACTTCCACCTATACCATAGCGACATGTCTGACTGCAATAGACGTCACTTTACCTCCGCCCGTAACGAATGTAAGCGTGTCCTCAATGATGCTAAGTCACTATTTGCAGCTCGAATGAAGGAGCGTGTTGCATCTCCACAAATTTGGCTCCAAAGATTATTGGCGTCTCTGCAAAGGCGTATTGAACAATTGCAAACCCTCTATACCTCCTTTGTTCAACCAGTTCGAAGTCCTGACCTCCTCTACCGACAAGGCCGAATGCTTTGCTCGGAAATTTTCATTCAACTCGACGCTCGACTCTTCCGGTGTACCCATACCCGACTTCCCTCTTAGAACTGAGGCCATATTCAGTGGGTTAAATATAACCCCATCTTTGGTACTGGGCGTTATCTCTAATTTAGAATCCCAACAAAGCTAGTGGTGGTGACGGGATACCAGCCATTGTCTTGAAGAAATGCGCGCCTGAACTGGCGCCCGCCACTCGAAACTATACAACTACTGCCTCAAGGAATCTTGTTTTTCCTGACTGCTGGAAGTCCTCTTCGATCGTTCCTGTCTTCAAGAACTCCGGCAACCCCTCTGACCCTTCCAACTACCGTCCTATCAGTCTCCTTCCCTCTTCGGCAAACTCTTCAAGCTCTAATCAATACCGGGGTGGTTAACCACCTCACATACCATAATCTGCTCTCTAACAAGCAATATGGTTTCCCTTTGCCGATCTACAGCTGATGTGCTCACAGCCATCACTGAAACAGTCTACCAGGCTCTCCAAAATAATGGGAAGCCCGAGCCGTGGCGCTTGACATCTCAAAGCATTTGATAGGGGTTTGGCATGCCGGCCTTCTGCGCAAGCTCAGGGTTATGGCATTACAGGTCGATTTTATAACCTAATACAATCATTCCTGTCAAACCGTGAATTGAAGGTCGTTCTCAATGGATTCTCCTCCAGTTCCTATCCACGAACGCAGGTGTCCCTCAGGCTCCATCCTAGGCCCCCTCTATTCCTTATCTACATAAATGACCTTCCTGACGCCGTAACTTCCCAGTGAGGCATCTACGCGGATGACACCACAATTTATTCCTGCCTCAAAAACAAATCTAGTCTCATGACAAAACTCACCTTGCCGTGCGTCTCGAAAAGGACCGCCAATCGATTGTGAACTGGGGCATGAATTGGCTGGTCAACTTCAACGCTTCGAAGACAAAACTGCTCTCTATTAATCATCCCAGAGAGCCTTCCCTTCCCTCCATTAGAATGTCTGACGCTCAACTTCTCGAGAGCAACTCTCTGCGGCTTCTCTGTCTCACGTTGACTGCTGACCTGAGATGGAATAAATACATCGAGTCAATTGCTTCGTCCACTGAGAGGAAAGTTGGCTCCCTGAGACGCGCTAGGAAGTTTTTCTCTCCTGAGTCGATCCTCCAGATATACAAATCCACAATTCGCCCTTGCATGGAGTATTGCTGCCATATATGGTCTGGCGCCCCTTCTGTTTGCCTCGGGGTTCTTGATATGCTCCAGAAGGCGGATATGCAATATGGTTAGCCCTGCCTTGGCGTCTCGTCTACAATCACTTTCTCACAGACGCGCCGTCGCCTCCCTCTGTCTGTTCTACAAATACTTTCATGGAAATTGCTCCGAGGGCTGCATTCGCTGGTTCCCAGACGTCATGAGTTCAGCGCCCTACAGGCTGGCATCCCGCTCTCACCCCCTCACTGTCAGGAAACTCCTAAATGTAGCCGTCTCTTCTACTCTAATAGCTTCATGTCTCGCACCTCTCGCCTGTGGAACTCCCTTCCCTTCTCCTGTTTCCCTGTGAGCTATAATCTCCAGCTATTCAAATGTAATGTCAATCGACATCTCCAGTCGCTTTAATCTATCCACTACCCTCATCCTTTCTTCTATCACTCCTACCTGATCTTGCTATTTCCTGTAACCCCTTGCATCCTAGTGGCTTCCCGCCTTGCTTGGGGTGAAACGCTTAAAAAAAAAATTACATCGATCACACAACTACATGCCTATACATACGATTTATGTTACACCTATCTGACTACAGCTCCTTTAGAACTATTTTAAGCACACAGACAAACCTACCAGACTCCATCCGAAACAAACTAGTAGAAAATACAAGTATGATAACCTCATCCATATGAAGCCCTAATAATATAAAAAAGTCATCACTCAATATTGTTAATGGTGGCCGTGTTTGGAAAATAAAACATCCCTATACCTCTAGATACATACATACGACCCATACATTCAGTTAAAAAAATAAAAAAAATAATGTCATCATTGATAATGGCTAAAAGAATAGTCGAAAGCGAACGAAAATGAAGAACATTTGGACAGATTTTACACACTTTGTGTCCAGAAAAGAAAACACTTGTACAAAAAGAAGGAAAATTAAATAAAAAGCTTAGTCGCAGTACCTTCTCAGTTGTATTTAACGAAACATGTATAAAAGAGGGATTGCTGCCTAAATACACCACACACACACACAGAATATATATATATATATATATATATATATATATATATATATATATATATCGTCGTATATGTAATCTTCTATGTAAACATAACGGAATGTCATCTTTGCTGGTGAACATCTCTGTTGTAATGTCCATATAACCACTCTGATGTGAGCCCAAAACCTACATTGAGGAAACGCATTATAAACAATATCCAAATGTTGGACACTTTTTGTCTTTATTTTCTCCCGAAATAAAATGCAATATACGATGCTTAGAACATCTGATGATCAAACATAATAGACATTCGGTGTCTGTTATATTTAACAGTATATATTTAATAATGATCTGCTGCCCCAATATATATATGTGTGTGTGTGTGTGTGCATTACGTAGACGTATGAATCAACACTGATACCAGCATCACGTCTTAAGTGATCATCAGATCATCTATTCCTCCACTTTGTGACCCCTGAATGTTTCTTGGATGTAAGTGAAGTGGTGAACAGGAAACTCTAGGATGGGACTGTAAATAAAATAAACTATTAGCCCTTAAACCCCACTCCCCACATTTACCGGAAACCTCCAATAGCCTATACATGTAGTAGTAATATAATGATCGTTTAAGGTGTGAAACTGCCAGTGAACATTCACTGTTGTTTTTCGTGGCCCACACGGTTTATCTTAACAAATTAATATTTAGTTGTTGTGTAGAAAAGGCACCGTCTCAAAAAAAAAAAAAAATAAAAAATAAAAACACGAAATCTCAAAAAAAGTGCGTATTATACATGAATATCGCAGAAGTTCACGGAATAATGAATAGCACACGATTTGCAAGAATTGAACTATAGTAGAAAGTTCAGCTTTCATACTCTTTCGAGAACAGGGCACCCCAAGGCGGGTGTAATGGTTAGCAATCTTGTCTCGCTAGAACAATTACGAATGAGTAGTGAGTTCGATCCTCACTGGGTGCCCCATACTTTCGGCCTTGTGCCACATCTAAGCAACGCTTGGAAAATCGCTACTCTTTCGAGAACAGAAAATTGAATACAATAATTTTTTTTTATTAGTATTAACTGAGCAAATTTTGATAAAGGTCTTCCATAAAATGAATTTACTAGAATAGTAAGAAAAGAAAACTGAGCCTTTACATGACATCTGTCCTTTATTACGGCACTGAATGTTGGAGGTTTTCCATAAAGATGAAGAAGAGACTCGAGGCGACAGAGATGCGGTTCTACAGAAGGATGCTAAGGATAACATGGATCGAGCGTGTGAGCAACGATGAGATCTTAGTATGGTTGCAAACAAGGAGGAGGCTTATACTTAACACCAGGAAGAGGCAGTTGAAGTTTCTAGGACACATAATGAGGAAAGAGGGCCTGGAGAATCTGATACTCACGAGTCGAATAGAGTGAAAAAGAGACAAGGGAAAACAACGCGTGACATACCTGGCGGACTTAAGCAAGTAGATGACAGAACGTAGTCTAGGAGAGGAGTCAGAGGGAAGGAACTTGTCGAAGGCTTCGAGGGAGGTGGAGAGCTATGATCGCCTACGTCCTGAAAGGACATGGCATATAAAAAGAAAGAAAGAAAGAAAAAAAAGAAAGAAAGAAAGAAAAAAAAAGAAAGAAAGAAAGAATAGCAATCGTCCTTCGACTCTGGCTTGCTAACTCCTGCTCCATGATGAGGAGGAGACTCTTTAGCCACCAATGAAGTGGTCCGCGTTTTTTTTTTCCACTGAACGCAAAAAGAGAATACAATTTTTGCAAATCGAACAGATGTTTTGTCCGTTTCTTTTCAGGAGGATGGCGCCAGGAATTCTTAGCATATTTCTCTTTTCTTTTTAAATTGAAAGTTTTAAATAATTGACGGATTATTTTTTTTTCTCTCTTATTTCGTGATCAGCTCTGGACATTATTCCTATTTCTTTTCGTATAATACTGCTTTTCATATTGGGTTGACAATTACTGTAGAGATGCTGAACACGCACTGCCCTTAACAATCGCAATTAAGAATTGGGAAAAAGAAAAGAATATTGAGAAGAAGAAAAGTAAAGAGGTCTTAGTCAGAAAATATTCAGCATTCAAGCAAGACACACAATTGCGAAAATGAGTAATGCACAAGAACCAAAATATTCAAGTAAAAATATTGAGAATAAATGATACATTTTTGCACAAAGGTGAGGGAAGAATAAATAAAGAGACGGCGGATTAGAGAAGAAAAAAAAGAAAAAGGAACGAAATCATAAAAAGTTTTGACACCAGCAAGAATAGTGATACTACTACTACTAATAATACTAACAACAACAGCAACATAAGAAGAAGAAGAAAAGGAAAAAAAGAAGATTAGAGAGAGAAAGATATAGACTTAACTGAAGAAGAAGATTAGAGAGAGAAAAATAAAAAACTTGACTGACGTGGCGGAAGAAGAAGAAAATATGAGAAGTAGAAAAGGAAAAAGATTAGAGAGAGAAAAATAAAGACTTAATTAATGTGAAGCAGGAGGAGAAGAAGAAGAAATGTGTATAGAAGGAAAAATAAAAACGGCTGAAGAAGAAGAAGAAGAAGAAGAAGAAGAAGAAATCATCATCATCATCATCATCTTCGGAGAATTAGGGAAAAGGAGTGGGAGGGCGAAGACGATATTTGATATTGTTTGCTGTAGTGGTGTTGTTGTTCTTATATCTTATTATTATTATTATTAGAAGATGACTTTCCTCTTCTATCAAATATCTTCTTTTTTTCTTCTTATTAGAAGAAGATGAAGAAATAAGAACAGAATAATGTAAATCGAGAGAGAAATGTAACAAGATAAATGTGAAAAATGATAAAATTAGACAAACGACACACAAAAAGAAAGATAAACAAAAGACAGAAAAACGAAAAAAAGAAAAACGAAAGAAAGAAACGTCTACATAAAAAAATATCTATGAAAGGTTAGGAAGAATAGAGGAACGGAAAAGAAAGACAGAAGGAAAAAGAAAAAAAAAGAAAGAAATTAACGTTAAGTTATACCGTGAAAAGATTTTCTTCGGCGAATTTTCGCGTGTTTATAGATAATTAGTTAATACAGTTTTGATGAATGTAATTCGCTGACACGTGAACATTGAATTTTCTGTAAAAAAAACTGACTTGCCAAAATGAATATACTACGAATCTGTTTTTATTTTCATGCCAACAAGGCGAGATAAAATGAATATGAGAACTACCCACAGACAATATGGACTCGTTCAAAAATGTATTTAACAAAGCAATGGTGGACATTTTCGTGAGATAAAGAATTAGAAGTTCCTATTTCTTCGAACTACGATTAGCGTGCAACAACAATGAAAAATAGATGTTTTCTTTGGCAAGTTCTTCCTTTTTAAAACCCGCTACTCTGAATTCCTTTCAGAGTACTTCAAGTTTGTCTCAGTTTTTTTTTCAAATTTGAACTCTTCAAATCTGATATTTTCGGTTGCTCTTTGAAATCTTATTAAAAAAAAAGGAATTTAATGATTCAATTTAAATATTTATTCTTTCGTACAAAATCTTTTTTTTTTTTTTTCGTGGTAAAACCTTTCCTGATGGTTTTGACTTCTCCTCTTCTAACAGAGAACCATTCATTTAGTGTCTATCACGTGATGCAGAAATACCCTGCCATAGAGCAATAATGGAGTACGTCTTCATTTTCTCCGTGTTCTAATGGAAATACTTCAGCGCCTTTGAGTAGACGTTGCGTGTACTGCTCAATACGGGCGAGTATAAAATGCAGCAAATGCCAATTTCTGTAAAAGATGTTAATTCGCAAAGAGCCTGAGGTAATTAGAAGCACAGACAGGTGTTTGAAAACGTTAACCGGTTATAACTTGTTTCCATAAACTGCTCAAAGGCTATTAAGAAGGGAAAACAGTTTTAGAACACCAGACGGAAAGTGACCAGAGGAGGGACGAAAGTGAACACGCATTCCGAGAGTTATTTCTTCTCTATATTCCGTGTCTCTTCAGCACGTAGAAGGATCATGGCTCTCCACAATTTCCTGTCTTTTCTTAATAATAATAATAATAATAATATTATAATAATATAATATTTTTTTTTGTTATTTCTCCTCAACCTTGTTCTGCCATCCATTCACTCAAGCTGACTAAATTTGTCATGCACTTTTATTCATTGTCCCGCTTGCCTTCCATCTGTCCTGTGTGCATCAGATTTTCCAAGCCTACCTTTCTCATTACGTACCCCAGAAATTTAAACTCTTGCTTCCTTATATTAAGTATAAGTGTTCTTTTTGTTTCCATATTTTCCAAAACTTTGTCGTTGTTCAAGTTTTCCGTCCATGGTATCCCCAGCATCCTTCTGTAGAACCACATTTCTGTTGCATCAAATGTCTTCTTCATCTTTGAGGTGATTGCTCGGCATTCACTGCCATAGAGGAGAACGTAACAGCTGAGTACTCATTTTTTTTTTTTTGTTTCTAATGAAGATTTTTTCTGTTTGTAAATATTCTGTTAGCTTTTAGAATGCATCTTTGGTTATTCCAGTGCGTCTATTAAAATGTGGTCCAATGTAGATGTAATGAGCGCAATGTGAGGGATCAGTATCCTAATCTTTGTTGTTTTTATCAAAACATTTCGTTTCCTTTACTTTCTAACCATCTTCAGGTTTTGGCGCCATTTTGTTACCTTTCGTGAAAAATCGTTACCTGCCCTCGTTTCCATAGTTTTCACTTCCTAGCATCTCCATTTTCACTCATATCACGTTCAAAGCCGAAATGTGAAAAAAAAAAAGGAGAAGAGAGAAAATTGGCGGTGAAATTGAAAAAAGAAAAAGAGTAAGAAGACAAAAGAAGAAGAAGACAAAAGAAAAAGAAGAAGAGGTTCAAGTTGCAACAGGAAAAAGAAAAAAAATAGATGGAAGAAAAATTGGATAAAATCTTGAAATAAAAGAAAGACAAAAGAAGGAATGAAGAAAAGTGAAAGAGAATAAATGGAAGCAAAAATAGGAGAAAGAAAAAACAGGAAGAAAGAAAGGAGGGTAGAAAAATGGATGAGAAAAAGCTAAAGTCGAAACAGAAGAAATAAAAAAGAAGAAAAAAGAAGGTTGAAATGTGGATGAGAAAAGGCTAAAGTCGTAATAGAAGAAAGAACAAAAACAAAGAAAAAAGAATGGCGGAAAGTGGATGGGGAAGGGCTAAAGTCGAAAGAGGAGAAAAAAAAAAAAGGAAGTAAAAAAGAAAGGCGAAAAATGGAGGAGAAGGCCTAAAATCTAAACAGGAGAAAGAAAAAAAAAAGAACAAGGAAGAAAAAGAAGAAAAAAGTAAGGCAAAAATGGAGGAGAGAGGGCTAAAATCGAAACAGGACAAAGAAAAAAACGAATTTAAAAAGAAGAGCGAAAAAGGGAGGAGAAAGGGCTAAAGTCGAAACCGGAGAAAGAAAAAAAGAAGGGCGAAAAGTGTAGGAGAAATGGCTAAAGTCAAAATTAGAGGAAAAATAGAGAAAAAACGAAGGGCTAAAAGTGGAAGAAAAAGGGCTAGAAAAAGGTCAGAAACAGGAGAAAAGAAAAAAAGGAAGGAAAAAAAGAAGGGCGAAAAGTGGAAAAGAAAGGCAAAAGTCGAAATAGGAGAAAAGAAAAATAAAGAAAAAGGAAGGGCGAAAAATGGAGGGGAAAGGCAAAAGTCGAAACCGAAGAAAAAAAGGAAGAAAAAAAGAAAGGCGAAAAGTAGAGAAGAAAGGGCTAAAATTTAAACAGGAGAAATAAGAAAAGGAAGAAAAAAAGAAGGACGAAAAGTGCAGTAAAAACGGTTAATGTCGTAACAGAAGAAAGAAAAAAAGAACAAAGAAAAAAGAAAAGCGAAAAATAAAGGAGAAAGGGGTAAAGTCGAAATTAGAGAACGAAAAAGTAGAAGAAAAAAGGAAGGGCAAATAGTGAAAGAGAAAGGACAAATGTCGAAACATGAGAAAGAAAAAAAAGGAAGAAAAAATAAAAGGTGAATAATGGAGGAGAAATAGCTAAAATCGAAACAGGAGAAATTAGAAAAGGAAGAAAAGAAGAAAGACGAAAAGTGGAGGAGAAAGGGCTAAAGTTGAAACAGGAGAAAGAAAAAAAGAAAGAAAAAAAGTTAGGCAAAACATGGAGGGGAGAGGGCTAAAATCGAAACAGGAGAAAGAAAAAAACTAATTAAAAAAGAAGGGCGAAAAAGGGAGGAGAAAGAGCTAAAGTCGAATCAGGAGAAATAAAAAAGAAGAAAAAAAGAAGAGTGAAAATTAGATAGGAATGGGCTAAAGTGGAAACAGGTGAAATAAAAAAGAAGAAAAAAAGAAGGGCGAAAAGTGTAGGAGAAACGTCTAAAGTCGAAATTAGAGGGAAAAAAAAGAGAAAAAACGAAGGGCTAAAAGTGGAAGAAAAAGAGCTAAAGTCGAAACAGGAGAAAGAAAAATAGGAAGAAAAAAAGAAGCTCGAAAAATGGATGAGAAAGGTCTAAAGTCGGAACAGGAGAACTAAAAAAAAGAAGTAAAAAAGAAAGGCGAGAAATGGAGGAGAAGGCCTAAAATCGAAACAGGAGAAAGAAAAAAAAGAACAAGGAAGAAAAAGAAGAAAAGAAGAGGAGTACGGGTTAAACTCAGAATAGGAGAAATAAAAAAAATAAAAAAAATGGAGGGAGAATAGTGGAAGAGACAGAGCGAAAAAGGAAGGAGAAAGGAAAAAGAAAGGAGAAAGGAAAAAGGAAGGAGAAAGAAAAAAGAAAGGTGAAAGAAAAAAGAAAGGAGAAAGAAAAAAAGAATGAAAAGAGGAGAAGTATCAAAGGTAGACATTAATGTCAAAACAGGGAAAAGAAAGGTTTACAGTTATTTTCAAATCGTAGCTTAGATGTGACACAAGGCCGAAAGTATGGGGCATCTAGTGAGGATCGAACGCACTTATCTGTTGTGACTTATCTAGCGAGACAAGCTTGCTAACCATTACACCACGCCGAGGTGCCCTAATAGAAAGGTTTATAACATTCGAACTGATCGGCATTTAACTGACATTTCGCCAACCATCCCAATAAACAATAAAATAGTATAAATAAACAATCTAATAAATAAATAGTGTTTAATATTTTTATTGTAAAGAACAAAGAAAATGTATAAATTTACTTTCAGATGTTTAGGTTTTAAAAAAACATTTCCGAGGAGTGAAGGTAGTTAAAATAAGTGCGGTGTCAAAAAAAAAAAAACAACAAAAAAACTAAACTTTTAACATTCTGTTTTTTTTTACGGACATGAAGGTCCATTTTTCCAAAACCACGATCTCAAAACTCAATCTGAGAAAGAGTGATTTTTATCATTCCGTACCTCCAAAACAATTCTACTAACATCTCTACACCCCACCCCACATTTTCTCCATCATGATGAACAGTTGTGCTTTCATGCTTTCAGTGAGGCTCCTGACCCCGAACATCTTTTAGGATTAATGCTCTCCCCCTCCAGACGTGTATTCTTATCATCGTTAAAGATGTTAGAAAATTGATAGGTTCCTTGTAGTTCTCCAGAAAGTACCCGATACATCGTGCCATGACGTATGGTTGGGTTTAGGTTTATATTATTTCACAGCATATCAACACCTCAATGGGTTATTTAATGCCGACAAAATGTCTAGGATAGGTTCGTATGAATAGGATGTGTATTCTTTTGTAAGAAATCAGTTTGTAGATCAGATTTCATTGACGTATTTTTCTAAAAAGGGTTTTTGTCGAGAGTCAAATGTATTGCTGGTATTTTTTTTCCAAAATTAATTGCTGGTATTTTTAATATAAAATTTGTTTTTATGCTTTCATATTGTTTTGACATCTGTTTGCCCATAGCTTGGCCCCTAACAGGTGCTACCACAACGGTTCATGGTGAATCTGGAACAACAGCAATTCTGAGGCGGTTACGTGATGTTGTTCTACTGCTGAATGCAATATAATATTTTTAAAAGCCGAAAGAAAAAAGATCATATATTTTTAAAAGCCTAAATAAGTAAGGTGAAATATTTGTAAAAGCTGAAAAAGAAAGCTGACACATTTTTAAAAGCGCAAAGTAAAGATGATTTTTAAAACAGAAACAGAAAGATTATACCATTTTAAAAGCCGAAATAGAAAGACGGTATAATTTGAAAAGCAGAAAGAGAAAGACTGTATAATTTGAAAAGCAGAACGAGAAAGACTGTATAATTTGAAAAGCAGAACGAGAAAGACTGTATAATTTGAAAAGCAGAAAGAGACACAGAATATCGTTGGAAACAAAGAAAAGATTCCGATTTATTATGTAATATCTAATGACATCGACGGCAATGAATGCTGGACAATCACATCACAGCTGATGATGAGAATTAAAGTTTTAATTAATGTGATTCTACTGAAGTAGTCTGATAATATTATGAACAGAACATGTGGCAGTATTAAGGAAAAATAGGTACGAAAAGGAAAGTTAATCAGAAACCGACCGTGTTGATTCCACTGCTGAATGCAGAGAATAACATAGAATATGTGAGCAATGAGGAAGTCTTAAGTTTCATTGACTTATTTCCACCGTATACATATCAGTTATATAATGAATATATTTGTTACTCTATATCATTTTTATAATCCAAGATGCTTGTATTTAAAATGTGTTTCACCATTATGAGACAGCCTATATATAAAACTGTATGCTGTCTGTTTAAAAGAGTCAGCTCAGATCAAGAATAAAGCGTTGCTGTCATATCATGGCTGGAGATGTGTCCAATTTACACCGTCCAGCCATGACAGATCTCAAAAGCGTTTACGCTACCTTGTGGGTGATAATTTTCCACTCTACAAATGATTTCCTACAGACGAAACACTGCTAGCCTTTCTCTATTTTCATGGCAAATGTCCAGGCAGTCTCTGTTCCTTAGTTCCACGTACACGTTCTTAATCATTTCATATTCAATTGATAAGCAGAAAGTTCCACTTAGACGGTTTCTTTCCCAGAAAATTTTAAATTTTAAAGTCAATCTTTATCTATCCTACATATCCTCATAATATGGGTTTATTGTGCGCTCTTACAGCAATTACATTCAGTAACTATCTATATTGAGAGGCTCTTGGGGCTCGTATTATTGGAACATTAGCATCAAAGCTAAGAGTAGATGTCAAAAGACACCTGGCGCAAAATGAAGAAAATGCCGAGGCGGGTACCATATTATTAGGTTGAACCAAAAGTTCAGTAACTACCTATATTGAGAGGCTCTTGGGGCTTGTATTATGCGAACACTAGCATCAAAACTAGGAGTAGATGTCAAAGGACACTTGGCACAAAGGAAAATGCCAAGCCGGTTACAGTATTATTAGGTTGGACAAATATTCAGTAAATATCTATATTGAGAGGCTCTTGGGGCTTGTATTATTGGAACATTATCCTCAAAGCTAAGAGTAGATGTCAAAAGACACCTAGCGCAAAGCAAGGAAAATGCCGCGGCGGGTACCGTATTATTAGGTTGGACAAAAAATTCAGTAACTATCTATATTGAGAGGCTCTTGGGGCTTGTATATTATTGGAACATTAGCATCAAAGCTAGGAGTAGATGCCAAATGATACTTGGCACGAAGTGAGGAAAACGTTGAGGCGGGCACCGTATTATTAGGTTGGACAAAAAATTCAGTAACTATCTATATTGAGAGGCTCTTGGGGCTTGTATATTATTGGAACATTAGCATCAAAGCTAGGAGTAGATGCCAAATGATACTTGGCACGAAGTGAGGAAAACGTTGAGGCGGGCACCGTATTATTAGGTTGGACAAAAATTCAGTAACTATCTATATTGAGAGGCTCTTGGGGCTTGTATATTATTGGAACATTAGCATCAAAGCTAGGAGTAGATGCCAAATGATACTTGGCACGAAGTGAGGAAAACGTTGAGGCGGGCAACGTATTATTAGGCTGGACAAAAAGTATGTTCGGCTTTTAAATTTACTACATAATGAGCGAATGGCCTTTTCGTTCAATCCTATATTTTGTTGCCATCAAGGGTTGACGCTTGCTGTAGTTTGACTGTCCGTCTAAATATAATTTTTTTTCTCTGTTATCCTTGGGCTGATAAGATTGCTCCACGTTCAATATTCCTGGTGCCAATTCTTTATCCTAAAGCGATCCTCCAAGGTCCAAAGATTTACCAATAAGCATGAAGGCATTCATCTGAATAGTTCACAAAATAATGATGAAAACTGAATGTAAAACCTTCAAATACCCTAAGACATGTTTTTAAAATTCGGAATAAGAAAAAATAATCTACAGGAATGACGGAGAATCGGTTTAAGAGTACCGTGAAAAACAATCAGGATATTAGCCGACATAATTTATCGAATATTAAAAATTTTTATTCTATAAACAAAGATGAGGATACTATTTCAATTTTTTAATGTAAAACTGAAAATACTTCTTCTCAAAACTCGAAACGACAATAGAAATAACGTATTTGGCAAATATGGAATGGTCAAAACAACAATAATTTGATTAACGAAAAATATTTTAGCAGGCGCCGTCGCCTCCCTCTGTCTGTTCTACAAATACATTCATGGAAATTGCTCCGAGGAGCTGCATTCGCTGGTTCTCAGACGTCATGAGTTCCAGCGCCCTACGAGGCTGGCATCCCGCTCTCACCCCTTCACTGTCGAAACTCCTAAATGTAGCCGTCTCTTCTACTCTAATAGCTTCATGTCTCGCACCTCTCGCCTGTGGAACTCCATTCCCTATTCCTGTTTCCCTGTGAGCTATAATCTCCAGCTATTCAAGTGTAATGTCAATCGACATCTCCAGTTTCCTTGATCTATCCACTACCCTCATCCTTTCTTCTATCACTCCTATCTGATCTTGCTCTAAATTTTCTGTAACCCCTTGCGTCCTAGTGGCTTCCCGCCTTGCTTGGGGTGAAATGCTTAAAAAAAAGACCAAAAAAAACTACAGACAACAAGATGAAATCTGAAAAGAGGTATAAAAGCAAACTAAATAGCGCAGCTACTCGAATCCGATGATGTCAGTCTACGAGGGAGGCTAGCTAATCCCCATTGCAGACTTCTGCTCAGGCACATTTGTTTGTTAAACACCCACAGTGTCCACCAAGTCGTTTATACTGCAATGAACCTTAGGTACAGTTTCTGGGAGAGTGTGCGTTATCTAGCGTGATTAAAGGTCTGAACTTGGCCAGCACGCTCAAACCCTCAGTCACGATGACTTGGGACTTCCTGCTAGCACAACCACCGACAGCTTACAAGGGTGCCATCTACCCAATTTCTCTTAAAAGGATTTGGTCAACCCATGGTATTGTTTTTCAGACACTTTTCAATTGTGACCTACGCTGGGATCGCCTCTTCCAGGCCAATAACATCAAGAAATCGCCATCCTAACAAATCGACCACAGTGAGATTCGAACCCAGATCTCATGGTTATAACTGTCTAGGTGTCTCGTCCTTCAAGCATAATTTTCCACAACTTCTTATCCTTTGTAGCTCTTAACAATGTTTTTTTTACTACCCCCTCCATCTGATCTGCTATCCATTTTCACAAATTTCTTGTTAGATTGATGACACGTTTTCATTTCCCCCTTTTGTCTTCGATATGTCAGTATCTAATCTTCCAAAACTTCTTTCCTTATTATGTACCCCAGAAATTTCAACTATCAATCTATTATGTGCCATGCGTGATACACGCTTAGGCGATCATGTATCTTTCGATACATGACTGACGATGTATATATTTTTTCCGCAGTAGGTTGCCATTTCTTTCTGCGGTAGACCAATTTCCATCCAAGGCTATAGAACCCGGCCTGTCCTTCTATTTACTCATAGCTGGGGGGAGAAGAAGAGGATTCATATCTTTCGCAAGGGTATTAGCACGTAAGTGAATGTAATGGATTCGACTGTAATTCGAAATCGGCTCTCCGATTCCTCAATCCGTGACGCTATGCTATCTCTTACTGATTCTAAATAAAATGTACTTTTTGTTTATAATTTCCTTAAAACTTTATCGTTGCTTTATCGTCAATGATATTCTCTTCTGTAAAAACCACATCTCAATTGGCTGAAGTCCCGTTTTCACCTACGAGAAAATTGTCACTGCCATATAGGAAGAGTGATTTTGAATAGCAATTCGTTATACTTAAGCCCCTGGCAGAACCTCAGAATACTTGTAAAATCAGGAGAATAATAAGATTTAAACATCAAATCCGAGAAACGAGAAAATGTAAAAATTCAATTCTCCATGCATTGAATATTGCTGCCATAATTGGCCTGCTGCTCCGGCTATATAATTCTCAAGATTCTGAGAAAAATCCAAAGAATGGTCTGTAATGTTATTGGTCCTGACCTGGCATCTTGACAGCAGTTAATTTCTCACTGTTGTAATGTGTTTTCTCTCTATCTTTTAAAAATTATTTTCATGGCCATTTGTTCTCATGACCTTCCCTCCTTCGTACCTCAAACGAATGAATTTAATGTTAGCGCGAGATTGGTAACTAGGTCATATCGTTTTACTAAGGATTTAGTTATATGTAACCGGAAGTTTATATTCTAACACTTTATTTTCTCACACTACTAGTCTGTAGAACCCTCTTACGGTTTCTTGCTTTCCAGCCACATGCAATCTTCGAAAATTTAAATGCACCATTAATTGCAATCTTCTGTCTTTTCAAAACCTGTTTTTTTTTTTATTGTCCTCGGTAAAGTCTCTTTCACTGCCAGTAAACGCCTCGCATCTCAGTGGCTTTATCGCCTTATTTGGGGTGAAATGATTAAAAAAAATTATATGTTTTAGCAAATACTCAGTGTATATCTATTGACACGTTGTTATGAAAACAAAGACGCTAGTTCGAAAAATTAATGAAATAATATAGCTTCTTTGAAAACATGCTGAAGATTTAGCACCCGCGCCATTTCAGCGAGAAAATGTCCAAAATTTATCACTTCTTTTCTATGATAAAGTAACAAACGTCTGACATAAACGTGTGGACACCGTAAATAACAAGCAGTCTATGTTTGTGAGCTCTTCAAAATTCAGGCGTCGTATATATATATATATATATATATATATATATATATATATATATATATATATATATATATATATATATATATATATATATATTGTTATTCAGTTCAACTTTCAATTTGCCATCAGAACATTGATAAGTCCCAAGTGAAATTTCAGCTCAAAGAAGAAAGAAAAGAGCAAAGGAAAGAGGGAGAATAAAGAAGAGAGAGAGAAAGAAAGAAAGAGAGAGAGAGAGAAATACAAAAGAAGGAGGAAGAAAAAAGAAGGAAGAAAAGAAGGAAGAAAAAAGAAGGAAGAAAAGGGGTAGGAGTTAAAGTCGAGATAAATAAAAGTGTAAGAAGAAGGAAGAAGAAAAGAAGGCTTAAATTCTTTAGGAGAAAGAAAAAAAGAAAGAAGAAAAAGAAGCAAGAAAAGTGTAAAAAGAAAGGGTTAAATTTAAACAGGAGGACGAAAACGAGAAAAAATGGAGAAAGAGGAGAAGAGGTTATCGTCAAAATAGAAGAAAGAAAAGAAGGAAGAAGTCAGTAAAATGAAGGCAAGAAAGAGAAGGAGGAGTTAAAAGTCGAAAAGGAGAAAGCAAAAATTCAGAAAAAATAATAATGATGTGGTTAAAGTCAAAGCAGGAGAAAGAAAAAAGAAAGTTGAAATAATTAAGGAAAGGTGAAAAAGAAGGAAAAGGGTTAAAGTGGAAATAGATGAATGTAAAAAAGGAATAAAAAGATAATATAATAACAAAGAAAAGCTTAAAGGAACGAGGAAGGAGGAGGAAGAAAAAGAAAACGAAAAGAGGTAAGTAGAAGAATAAAAAATAATTTTGATGTAGAAAGAAAAAGAGAGAAAAAAGAAGGACGAAAAAGAAAAGGAAGATTAAGAGAGAAGGAAACAGAGGAGAAAAGTGAAGGAAAAAAAGAGAAAGAGGAGAAAAAGTAAGGGGTGAAAAAGAGAAAAAGAGACGAAAGAAAAAGAGAAAAGAAGGAGGAAGAAACATAGGAAAAGGTAAAACGGTTAAAAACGAAAAAAGAAGTAGGAGGAAGAAAAAGATGGAAGAATAAAAACGAAAGATGGAAGAGAGAAGAAATAAGGAAGGAGGTAAGAAAAGGTAAGGGAAGAAAAAGAGAAAAAGAGACGAAAGAAAAAGAAAAAAGAAGGAGGAAGAAACATAGGAAAAGGTAAAAGGGTTAAAAACGAAGTAAGAAGCAGTAGGAGGAAGAAAAAGATGGAATAATAAAAACGAAAGATGGAAGAGAGAAGAAATAAGGAAGGAGAGAAGAAAAGGTAAGGGAAGAAAAAGAGAAAAAGAGACGAAAGAAAAAGAGAAAAGAAGGAGGAAGAAACATAGGAAAAGGTAAAACGGTTAAAAACGAAGAAAGAAGAAGTAGGAGGAAGAAAAAGATGGAAGAATAAAAACGAAAGGGGGAAAAGAGAAGAAATAAGGAAGGAGAGAAGAAAAGGTAAGGGAAGAAAAAGAGAAAAAGAGACGAAAGAAAAAGAGAAAAGAAGGAGGAAGAAACATAGGAAAAGGTAAAACGGTTAAAAACGAAAAAAGAAGTAGGAGGAAGAAAAAGATGGAAGAATAAAAACGAAAGATGGAAGAGAGAAGAAATAAGGAAGGAGGTAAGAAAAGGTAAGGGAAGAAAAAGAGAAAAAGAGACGAAAGAAAAAGAAAAAAGAAGGAGGAAGAAACATAGGAAAAGGTAAAAGGGTTAAAAACGAAGAAAGAAGAAGTAGGAGGAAGAAAAAGATGGAAGAATAAAAAACGAAAGGGGAAAAAAGAGAAGAAATAAGGAAGGAGAAAGAAAAGGTAAAGGGAAGAAAAAAGAAAAAGAGACGAAAGAAAAAAGAGAAAAGAAGGAGGAAGAAACATAGGAAAAGGTAAAACGGTTAAAAACGAAGAAAGAAGAAGTAGGGGGAAGAAAAAGATGGAAGAATAAAAACGAAAGGGGGAAAAGAGAAGAAATAAGGAAGGAGAGAAGAAAAAGGTAAAGGGAAGAAAAAAAAAAAGAGACGAAAGAAAAAAAAGAAAAGAAGGAGGAAGAAACATAGGAAAAGGTAAAACGGTTAAAAACGAAAAAAGAAGAAGGAGGAAGAAAAAGATGGAAGAATAAAAACGAAAGAGAGAAAAGAGAAGAAATAAGGAAGGAGAGAAGAAAAGGTAAGGGAAGAAAAAGAGAAAAAGAGACGAAAGAAAAAGTGAAAAGAAGGAGGAAGAAACATAGGAAAAGGTAAAACGGTTAAAAACGAAGAAAGAAGAAGTAGGGGGAAGAAAAAGATGGAAGAATAAAAACGAAAGGGGGGAAAAGAGAAGAAATAAGGAAGGAGAGAGAAGAAAAGGTAAAAGGAAGAAAAAAAAGAAAAAGAGACGAAAGAAAAAAGAGAAAAGGAGGAGGAAGAAACATAGGAAAAGGTAAAACGGTTAAAAACGAAAAAAGAAGAAGGAGGAAGAAAAAGATGGAAGAATAAAAACGAAAGAGAGAAAAAAAAGAAGAAATAAGGAAGGAGAGAAGAAAAAGGTAAAGGAAGAAAAAGAGAAAAAGAGACGAAAGAAAAAGAAAAAAGAAGGAGGAAGAAACATAGGAAAAGGTAAAACGGTTAAAAACGAAGAAAGAAGGAGGAGGAAGAAAAAGATGGAAGAATAAAAACGAAAGAGTGAAAAGAGAAGAAATATGAAAAGCGACAGTAGAAAAGAAGTGGACATTTTCCTTAGTAGGTAAATAAGAAAAATAGAAATATATTCATGAAGAACTGGTAAAAGATTGAAAAAGTAGGATGAATTTGAAGTCGGAGTCAAGAAAAAGAACAGTGAAAAATGGTACATCATTTTTCACTGTTCTTTTCCTGACGAGGGAAGAAAAAGAAGCGAAGATTCATTTCTTCTATTGATTTTTTTATATTGCCATTTCTTACTTAAAACAACATCATGTGCATATACTCATTATATATAAAACTACATGCTCTCTATTTACAAGAGTCAGATGAAACCAACAATTGAACATTGCTGTCATATCCGGCCTGAAGAAGTCCAGTCTCCATTCTCCAAGGCTGACAGACCTTAAAACATTTACGCTGCCTGGTGTGCAATGAATTACTTTCCACTCTGCAACTAATTTACCACAGACGAAACTTTGCTAACCTCTCGCTATTTTCATGGCAAATGTTCAGACGGTATCCGTTCCTTAGTTCCACCAGTTCAGACTTTGACAGATTTGGACCCTCTATGCCACGTACACGACATCAATTGACCCTTATTCCTGTCGTATTCTGCTGGTAATCGGGAAGTTCCACTAAGACGGCTTCTCCACCAGAGCTGTCACTTGGAACAAAACCATAAAGTAATGAGCTTTTTCATTCTAGGGTCAATCTTTATTTATCCCACATATCCCCATAAGATTCACTTACCTGTAAGCCCTTATAAAAACCGCATTCAGTAATGTTCTATATTCAGTGGCTCTTGGGGCTTTTATTATGCGAAGATAAGTAGAAATAAAAACTGTGCTTTAGAATCAAAGCTAGGGGTAGATTTCAGAAGAAAGAAACAGAAGAGAATAAAATGGTGTACGACAAAAGGGTGTACGATAGAAGAAGAAGAAGAAGAAGAAGAAGAAGAAGAAGAAGAAGAGGGAGGAGGGGGAGGAGGGGGAGAGAGAGGATTACGGGAAACCGAATAAGATAAGAAATGAGAATACAGAAGAAGAAAGAAAAAGAATATTGAAGAGGAAGGAAGAAAAAGAAGGGAAGGAGGAAGTAAAAATGAAGAATTTAAAATGGGAGAAAAGATAGAAGCGCGAAAAAAGGCGGGAGGAAAAAGGCGGGACTCTTGAAGAAGGAAAGAGAAAGAAAAAGAAAGGAAGAAAAGAAGGTTAAATTTTAAGTGAAAGATAAAATAAGAAAAAAGGGAAAGTGTACGAAAGAAGAACAGTTAAACGTTAAGAAGAGAAAGTAGGAAGAAGAAAAAGAAAAGAAAGAGAAGAAAATGAAGAAAGAAAGAGGAAGTCTGAGAAGAGGTAAGAGGTGGGAGAAATAAAAAAGAAAGAAAGAAAAGAAAAAAAGAAAAGTAAAAGGACCAAAAGTAGGAGGGAAAAAAGGAAGAAGTGTAAAGGGAGATAATTAGTTAGCTGGGGTGAAAAAAGAAAGAAAAAAAGGAAAGAGAAATCGAAAAAAATAAAATATAGATTAAGAAAAACGAATTCCAACTCTCGTTCAATCTCAGCATTTCTCGAGGTGGCACCCGGATGTTTAAGTAGTTTTCATTTTCGTCAGCATTTTTGAATTTAAAGTCCCGATAAGATCGTCCTCAAATATATTCCCTAATCATACAAAATGAATCTTGTGAGTTATAAAGATATGACGCAGGTTAGAGAAATAGTGTCTTCAAATATAGCAACACTGCAAAAAGATATAACGAAGAATGCATATTTCTCCTTCAATGCGCCGTGTCCCTTAGAGACGTGGGTGATCGTGGCTCTCCACAATTTCCCATCCATTGTAGTTTTTCTTGTTGCTATCTCTCCTAATCTATGTTCTATCAACCATTAACACAAGTTCGTTAGGTATGTTATTCACTACTTTCCTCTGTATTCTCTTGATTCAATCTTCCCTGGGAGTGTCAAGTTTTCCAAGTCCTCTTTCCTCATTATATACCTTAGAAATATATGCCCTAAATTGTAAGTATAAGTGTTCTTTGCCTTTCCATTTTCGCTAAAACTTGATCATTTATTAGGCGGTCAGTCCAGCATCCTTCTGTAGAAGTAAATTTCTGTTGCCTCAAGTCTCTTTTTTTCTGTGAGGAGATTGTTCAGCATTCACTGCTAATTAGGAGTATATATATACATACATATATATATATATATATATATATATATATATATATATATATATATATATATATATATATATTATATCCGATGATCGGGAAAAATAGCAGGTCAGAATTCTTTGCTCTGTTTTTAAAGTATTTTTCCTGTATCTTAATACTTTGCTTAGCTTTTAGAAGGCATCTTTCACTGTTATAATAACTTCCAAAGATATTTGCTTCTTTGTACTTGTATGATTTTGGTGTATTCAATTCGTAGTTCGTATCTTGGGTTGTTCTTTTTGATGACAGCTACAGATTCTGTTTTAAAATTGATAGTCCTTTCTTTTCGCTTTTGTGTACCACAAACTTGTGTAAATTAATTAAAACAAAACGAGTAATTTCTTTATTATGCACTTTTTCCGTATTTTTCCAATGGAACGTGACCCAATGCACATGTTAGTACTTTGTATGTCCATTCCACGAAGTCGTTCTTTGCAGATTGACCACAGATTCTCGATTGGATTTAAATCAGGAAAGTTTCCGGGCCAAAGTAAGGTTTGCCAGCGTGTTCGTACAGCGTTACAATTTTCGTACACTTCATTGGAATAAAGTCCATCTCTTACAATGGCCGGAGGACAACTACTCGACAGTCGAGACAATAGTGACTGGGCATGATGAAAATCTGATGCAATCACAGATGGCGCAATATTTTTCAAGGCCTGAAAATTTCATCATACACCCCGAAAATAGAGTCATATTACTGCTCACCATTGCAGTTGACCTAATCTGTAGATAAAAATGGAAATCGTTTACACCCTGTCACTCCAGTGGGTCTAAAATTGACCGTATAGTGAAAGAAAGGAAAGTAAAGCGGTTGTTTCAATTAATTTGTACAAGAGTGTACATTCCGTTTTTTTTTTGCTTTTTGTCAACACTGCATCAGCTTCATATTTAATGTTAAGATTTTGGCCGCCAACAATAAATCCTGGCGGGATTTCTAATTCTCATAGGATCACCTCATTATATGGGTTAAACAGTTGTGTTGAGGAGAAAAATTCATATCTTTACCATTTTTGTGTATTTACTAAATTTTACTGTCTAAATTCTGCATTATTCTAATATCCTTCTGAAATAAATCAAAGTTACCTAGGGATATATATAATCAGGAAAATGAAATTTCTTAATATTTATTTACAGTATTCGAACTGTTGCCTTCATCTCTGTTGCCATGTTCCCGACGTTTCGGCCGTTGTATGCTCTGGCCTTCCTCAGGTGGAATTGGAATTCGAACTAAACCCTTTATTTCGCCCAGCGGGTAGATTCCAGGTGTCATGCCTATTCCGGGTATCTGAGTTATCTCCCTTTAACTCAACTCTCCCTATGCTTGTTCACTACTGCAGTAGTGAACTCATAACTCTTTCGGTCTCTGGATCCAACCAACGCTTTTATCCACTGGGTAACAAAGATGAGGACAGCAGTCTGAACAATGTAGATAGTGTAAATAATTACAATACTTTCTCTCACAAACATAGATAGAATTTAAAATTCAAGCTGTCTTAAGATGTGCAATGTATTAAGGTGCAATGGGAAACAGGTTATCATCGTTTGGATTTTGGCAGAGTATGATGTGTAGCTTCAGAGCGTGGGCGATCATGACTCTCCACGATTTCATTTTCTTGCAGCACTAAGCAATTTTTGACCCCTTACTTGACCTCCTTGGTCATGTTGCTCGCCCTGATTCTAGTGAATCTAACTACACACTGCCAGCCCCCAGGATTGTACTCACAGTTACTATGCCACGAACCAACACTTCAACCCATTAGACTATTGTCCCGTATAGTCGGGCAGTGTGTACTCAGTAACAAAAAGGTGAGCAATAAGCAAGACGGGCTATAAACAAGGACCAGGCGAAATATCCCTAGACATGAGCAGTGGAGGCGGAAAAGTCTACCATTGTAGATTAGATAAAGGGTTCACATTCGAATCCCTCGTAGGCAAAACGGATCGATATATAACTGATGAAATCCGTAGGGAACAACGGCTGTGACGACAACAACAAAGCTCACCTCAATCGTCTATTTGTGAATGACGCAAATAAGAAGAGCATTATTTTGAAGATTTTTCTTTAGACACGCGACTGATACAAGTTGTCGCTACACATTTGCTGGCGTGACTTCTTTCGTTTGCAATTACTGCATTCAATTTCGAACAAAATATAAAAAAACTGCTACCTTCTTAAAATAAACAAATAGCATAATCTACTTCAGGGAAAATAAGAAGGCATATTAATAAATAATCAACATAGAATAAAAACTCACCAAGCGCACTTCTTCATATCTTTTGTGATGCCAACGAATACTCGTTGTCACGTTTGTAATTCTCGTTGTTGTAGAGAATTTGTAATCGCAGATACAACTATAGTACGCTGTTGAACAATACTGGTGTCAAACGCCTTCGAATAACACTCGCAATAATAGTATTTGCTCGAAAATACTTGCTCGAATATTAACTACCCTATAGTGATCTGAATAGAGAAAAATCATAGTGAATAGAGTAGAGAATAGCGGACCGTATAGTATAGAGGATAGACTAGAAATAGCGATCCGAATAGTAATAGAGGATAGAATAGAAATAACGATCAATTAGACACACGCTACTTTCATATTTTGTATGAAATAACCTCCTACTTAGGCTTTTCATCTATGGTCACGGGTCTACTTAATTCAATAATGGGATCGCCTGTGTTTTCTCACTGGCGATCTATGTTCAAACTCAAGTGTCGGCAGCGACACTTTATTCCTCTATAACAGTAAGAATCAGTGGTTTAACATAAATCATATTTTGTATGAAATAACCTCCTACTTTTTTTTTTTTTCTCTGGTCATGGTCACTTGATTCAATAATGGGATCGCCTGTGTTTTTCACTGGCGATCTATGTTCAAAAATGCAGGATCTATAACAGTAAGAATGTTTTAACATAAATCATATTTTGTATGAAATAACCTCCTGGCTTTTTTTTCTATGGTCACGTGGTCTACTTGATTCAATAATGGGATCGCCTGTGTTTTCTCACTGGCGATCTATGTTCAAACTCAAGTGTCGGCAGCGACACTTTATTCCTCTATAACAGTAAGAATCAGTGGTTTAACATAAATCATATTTTGTATGAAATAACCTCCTACTTAGGCTTTTTTCTCTATGGTCACGTGGTCTACTTGATTCAATAATGGGATCGCCTGTGTTTTCTCACTGGCGATCTATGTTCAAACTCAACTATCGGCAGCGACACTTTATTCCTATATAACAGTAAGAATCAGTGGTTTAACATAAATCATATTTTGTATGAAATAACCTCCTACTTAGGCTTTTTTCTCTATGGTCACGTGGTCTACTTGATTCAATAATGGGATCGCCTATGTTTTCTCACTGGCGATCTATGTTCAAACTCAAGTGTCGGCAACGACACTTTATTCCTATATAACAGTAAGAATCAGTGGTTTAACATAAATCATATTTTGTATGAAATAACCTCCTACTTAGGCTTTTTTCTCTATGGTCACGTGGTCTACTTGATTCAATAATGGGATCGCCTATGTTTTCTCACTGGCGATCTATGTTCAAACTCAAGTGTCGGCAACGACACTTTATTCCTATATAACAGTAAGAATCAGTGGTTTAACATAAATCATATTTTGTATGAAATAACCTCCTACTTAGGCTTTTTTCTCTATGGTCACGTGGTCTACTTGATTCAATAATGGGATCGCCTGTGTTTGATCTCTGGCGTTCTATGTTCGAACTCAACTATCGGCAGCGACACTCTATTCCTATATAACAATATCACAAATATTCGTAAAATTCATTTTGGCTATGTACAATGATCTCACGAAAGGTATTGCTCACAATAAGTGGTGGCATAAATCCATACTACATTTGGCTCGTGCATAATATTTGAATTTCTCCAACCTTTGTGCAATACCTTGTATGTTTTGTCGAATAAGTTCTCGCCAAAGGACTTGATCTATCGACAAAGAAACATAGCGATACACGGTCTTATAAGCAAACTTCTATTCCGAAACAAACATGCATATAAGAGAGAGTATCCTGAGATTGGTTACCGGACCTTCTTCAGCAGCCGATATAAAAAATACAAATTTGCCTGTTTTGCGAAGAGTCTCGCCTGTCGCTAGCAGATCTGTAATTGTCATAGAAATCTTTTTTTGAAATTTTCCTTTACAAGGCGAAGCGCTGACGTAATTAGAATTATTCATCGTAGTTAAAAAAAAATGGCGAGGAACGAGAAAGATGCTAGGAAATAAAAAGAAGAAGGAAAAAGAAAGGAAAAGGAACTTGATAGGAAACCAAATCAGAAAGCCCGCCAATAGAAATGAAAGTTGATTGATGGAATCAATTGAAAATCCACGTCGTTCGCTTCAATTCTGTCCGGATTTTATCCATGACTTAATCCGAGTCCATTCAGAATACACCTTTGCATATTTCTTTCTCCCTCGTTTCACTTTCGACCTTTTTCGTCGTCTTTGATTTATTTCCGTCGCTCATCTCTCTTTCTTGTTGATCAGTGATGACTTGCAGAACGTCTTTCTTTCTATTTTCCGTTGTAGACCAGAGATATTGACACAGAGTGGCCCGAGAAATACTGTCAGCTAATACAACTGACGGATAAAAAGATGATCTTGTTCCTTTAGTTCACGTTCTACTGCGATTTTGTCCCGTTATTTGGTTTTCTTTATTTTCTATTCTTTATTCATCATTTATCTTTCTTTACGAACGTTTCTCTTTCCAACTTTCTTCGTTTCTAACGATATTTTTTGCTTTTTTCCAATTCCTACTCGTTTTTGTTTTTTGTTATTTTTCTTTTTTACTTGCTTACTATCCATCTTGCGTTTATCTAAACTCATTATCATTTACCTTTCTTCCTTTCTGTTATCTAGCCTCTCTTTCTTTCTTTCTTTTTTTCTTTTTTTCTTTCTTTCCTCTATTCTCCATATCATCTTTCTTCCTTTCTTTTCATTCTCTATTTCCTCTATTCTCCATATCATCTTTCTTTCAATCCCATATATTTATTATTTTACATTTTTATTATTTTTCATTCATCTTTTTCTCATCTTAATTTTTTCTTTTTTTTTTCTTTCTTTCTATCTTTCTTTCTTTCTTTCTTTTTCTTTTATCTAGCCTCTCTATCATATTCTCTTTCTTTCTTTCTTTCTTCCTTTTCATTCTTTATTTTCCCTATTCTCATATCATCTTTCTATCTTTCTTTCTTTCTTTCTTTTTCTTTTATCTAGCCTCTCTATCATATTCTCTTTCTTTTCTTTCTTTCTTTCTTCCTTTTCATTCTTTATTTTCCCTATTCTCATATCATCTTTCTATCTTTCTTTCTTTCTTTCTTTTCTTTTATCTAGCCTCTCTATCATATTCTCTTTCTTTCTTTCTTTCTTCCTTTTCATTCTTTATTTTCCCTATTCTCATATCATCTTTCTATCTTTCTTTCTTTCTTTCTTTTTCTTTTATCTAGCCTCTCTATCATATTCTCTTTCTTTCTTTCTTTCTTTCTTCCTTTTCATTCTTTATTTTCCCTATTCTCATATCATCTTTCTATCTTTCTTTCTTTCTTTCTTTTTCTTTTATCTAGCCTCTCTATCATATTCTCTTTCTTTCTTTCTTTCTTTCTTTCTTTCTTTCTTTCTTTCAAGCTAATATATTTCTTTATATTTCATTTATATAAATTTATAATTTCTTTTACTTTTTCTCCATTTAAATTTGTCTCACAATAATTTTCGTTGTTTCTTTCTTTCTTATCTTTTTTATTTATTTTATCTACCGTCTTTCTTTATTTCCCCTACTCTCTCTATAATCTTTCAACCGAACATATTTCTGCATTGTACACTCCTATACTTTTTCTTTAATCCTTTCTTTCTTCATCTTAAATGCTTCTTTCTTTCTTTCTTTCTTTCTTTTTTACACTCTCTCTTAATCTTTCTTTCTTTCTTTCTTTCTTTCTTTTTTACACTCCTCTTTCTTTCTTTCTTTCTTTCTTTTTTACACTCCATCTTTCTTTCTTTCTTTCTTTTTTACACTCCTCTTTCTTTCTTTCTTTCTTTCTTTCTTTCTTTCTTTCTTTCTTTCTTTCTTTCTTGCAATCTAATATATTTCTTTATTTTACGTTCCGGTATTGTTTGTTTCTTTCTTTCTTTCTTTTTTACACTCCCTCTTAATCGTTCTTTCTTTCTTTCTTTCTTTCTTTCTTTCTTTCTTTCTTTCTTTCTTTCTTTTTTACACTCCATCTTAATCTTTCTTTCTTTCTTTTTTACACTCCCTCTTAATCTTTCTTTCTTTCTTTCTTTCTTTCTTTCTTTCTTTCTTTCTTTCTTTCTTTCTTTCTTTCTTTCTTTGAATCTCGACGCTGTCCCATACTCAGTAAATAAATAGCCAACCCTTCACCAACCACAGAATTTCCAGATTTCTTCAATATTCCTTACCAGATAACTTCCACTGGATTATGTAAGTTTTCAAATAAATCCGACTTCTGTATTCCGGAAAAAAGACCCCCACTCACAAAAAAAAAAAAAAAAAAAAAATGATAAGACCGACCATTAAGCATTCCCCCAAAGAACGGCAGCCTTTAGTTTGACGGAATCGACAGCAACTTGTGAATGTAAGGCTTCTAGCAGAAGAACATAAGCCATAAAGCCTCGGCATATGCATTAGATTCGATTATTTACATATGCACGCCTATGTGAAGAGCGTTTAGCCAACATTGCAAGGTTTCTAATTGATTCCATACGAGCAATATAATAATCTATCAGAGTTGATGTAAAATGTACATGGTTGGTCAAGCTTCATGGATGTACAAACACATAGATGCAAATTAGGTCCATATAATATTTTTATAAGGAATTGACGATTATGGCTCTACACACTCTTTCTTTTATAATTTAAAAAATATTATATTGCCTTCAGCAGGAGAACTACATCATTACTACGCCTTATAATTACTGTTGTTCCCAGATCCACTCTGACCCGGGGTGATAGCACCTGTTGGGGTCCTAGTTATGGGTAAAAACGGGCTTTAAAAAATTATGAAAGCATAAAAATAGATTTTTATAGCAAAAATATCAGCAATATATTTGACTCTCGACAAAAAAACAAAAACAAACAACAAAACAAAAAAAAAAAACTCTCATGACTAAAATACGTCAATGAAAATTGATCTCTGAAATGATTTCTTACAACGAATACTCATTCTATTCATACGGACCTATCCGTAAAATCTTGTCGGCATTAAATAACCCATTGATGCGTTTCTTTCTTTCTTTCTTTTTTACACCCCCTCTTAGTCTTTCTATCTTTCTTTCTTTCTTTCTTTCAATCTAATATATTTCTTTATTTTACATTGCGGTATTGTTTCTTTCATCGTTTCTTTCTTTCTTTCTTTCATATCTCGACGCTGTCCCATAGTAAATAAATAGCCGACCCTTCACCAACTACAGAATTTCCAAATTTCTTCAATATTCCTTACCAGATAACTTCCACTGGATTATGTAAGACAAAATAAACTAAAATTATAAAACAAAATAAACTAAATTAAACAGCTATGCCGTGCAGAGGGCTGATGTCAACGGCCAAAGCAGATGGTCCCATTACTGGAATCACCGACCACGTGTCATAATCCAAGGGCAGTCGGGGGACGTCGGAGGTTGTCTGATTGTCAAAGGAACGGGCTTAGCCTGATCTACTTTGCCCAAAACAGCTATGTTTTAATAAATACCTCTCTGATTTTCATTGGATGGAGCCTCTTAGAGACTCAGACATCGGCACGTAGCCGAGACACGTGGAGGGAGCTGGTCATGTACTCAGAGGCGCAGCTATCCTAACATCACAACCGGTCATGGGCCTGAAGATAGTGATCATTGTAGATGATCGGACGTATCAAATATGTTTTGAAAGGTTTTGTGTTGTAGATGTCACGCCGAAAGATGCTTCACGGCCGAGTCGGCCAGTTGAGATCAATAGCGATCAAATGAAGTCTTGTAAATGATCGATAATATACGACATGGTGAAATAGCCAACATTATCTAAATATTAAGCGTTTCCGCCACCTTTGAATGTTAATCGCTTTGATCTGTGGCTTGCACATAAGTCCATCTAAAAAGAACGTGTGTAGTTCGCTATTTGCATTCATCGAAAATATTGCATGTGGTACTACTTAGAATTCGCGCTGAAGATTCTAATGCGTATATCTCAGAGCGTTTGGATGCCAATCTGAGAACAGTGCAGAGGATTCGAAAGGAGTTGCATGAGTCTAATGGTGATTACGAAGGTAAGGCAGCTCAGAAAAACTTTTTTCAGAATTTTTTGGTGAGGGCATCACACCAAATACGGAAACCTACATCAATTGCCTCGAGGTGGTAGCGCCGCCATGATTGAAGAGGGTGTCTGTTGGAAAACTCTGATTCCAGCAACAGGACTGTGCACCGTGCCACATAAGCAGGAGAACCCAGCTATGGCTGTAAGACAATTTCTGAGACCCGATCACCCCTTAAATCCTGCCACCTAACTCTCCAGACTGCAAACCCCTTGAATGTTATGTGTGAGGCGCAGTTGGGTGAGAGACCAACAAAACTCTTTGTAACACCAAAGATGAACTGAAAGCAAGGATTATGGCTGCATTCACCAACTTAAACAAGGAGACCGTCTAGAAGAGTTGCAGAAGATTTCGAAGTTGTCTAGAGGCTGTGGTTGTAGCCAATGGCGATTTTATTGAATGAATTTACCTTTTAGTATTTCAAGATGTTTTCGTGTAATTTTGGTAAATATATCAATTAAAACGTGATGTCAGTATTATTTTCATTTTTGCGTAATTTAGACGACAATTTGCCCACCGCATCATATATATATATATATATATATATATATATATATATAAGGCAGGAGGTATGTGTGTGTGTGTGTGTGTGTGTGTGTGTGTAACGAATGGAAGGCCGCAATTTTCGACGGATTTGCACCAATATTTACATGCACATACTCCAAGTTAGCGGAAAAGGCCAAGACCGAATTTGCATTTCCCAACTACCATCGGAAATAATCGGGTTTTTCATACAGTTTTCATGTAGTTTGCGGCCATTTTGTACTGGCCAGAGTAAGAGCCAATAGCTGGCTGCCACGAATAGGCAGGAAGATTCTATTGGCCAGCGTGAGAGCCAGCAGCTGACTGACACGAATGTTAAATAGCATCCTAGCATACAAAAAATCGATAGCTGCATTCGTCACAAGTGGAAAAAATTTAAATCTGCATGGCACTTTACTCCAATTGGCTCATTCGCTTGCTTAAAATCAACGTTGATTCTGATTCCGCAGAACTGGGTTGGGTGTGAAAAAGTATTTGTTGTTAACATTCTTTTTTCATTCGGTTTTTAAAGGCAAGGAAGGGCAAAAATATTTTGAGTCAATTGATAGTGATTGCTGTATGAGGCGTACGATTTTTGAAGCAAGCACGGGCAACGCCGTACCATGCTGCTAGTATATATATATATATATATATATATATATATATATATATATATATATATAATATTGCGTAAATTGGCGAAAAGTCATGTTGAGTTGTCCCCAGCTGACAACCCACATGAGTCATCATCTAAGGAGGGGTAAGGAATGTAAGAAAAGAAAAGTGTTTTTTGTAGAAGGGCATCAGTATTTTTTGAATCTGTCGTTAATTTGTTTTTATTTTGAAAACTAAATCAAATTCAATTAGCTTTCTCGGTACAATTATTACGATTCTTTCCTCTTCATCATTGGGCTTTTAACAATGCATCATTTTTCTCTTTTGGGCTTATAATAAAACTAGCAGTAAAGCCCGGCGTTGCCCGGGGATGTAACAGTAAGAGATAGATCAAGTATCGACCATCATAAACTGAAAAATAAAATTGACAAATATTATTGTTTAAGTTTGACGGACACGCATGCCTTGATTATTTTTTTTTTTTACGAATTGGTCAAACCCAAACTCAAACAAAAATATTGTTTTCAATCGTTATGAGTCTACCGATTGAATAGAATTTTATTATAAACAATTGTCTTGTAAATGGAATTTTTAAAGCATTATGAATGTAAAAATAAAGAAAAATGTGTGCAAGACAATAAGAAACACTACCTGCCAAAAAAAAGTGAAGTTTTGTTGAAATCGGTTGAAAAAGGTAGGAAATCCGATCCCATATATAAACGAATACACACACACACACAACCTGGGTTTTATAATAAGTATAACTCGATATGAGTTGTCCCCCTTTCATTCTCGCGATGCCTCTTAATCGTGTTTTTAAATTGATTTCATGCAAAAACAATTGTGTTCTTCCAATTGTTAGCGCGGTCAGAACCACCTCAAGGTAATTTTGCGTAGTCCTGTGAAGTTTTGTTGAAATCGGTTGAAAAATGCAGGAAATCCGATCCAATATATAAACGAACAGACACACACAACCTTGGTTTTATGATAAGTATGATGCATTATTTTTCTGTTCTTACTTTTAAGTGGGTAAAGTCTGACACTGAGAATCGATATGCCGATTTAGAAGATGTTATATCATTAACTATGCACATTCAAATATTGTACGTGTGGGAAAATGACGGTGGAAGATTCCGTTGCGCCATTCATCAGAAGTGCGTGCTTTGAGAATCAGCTTTCGAAATGATGGAAAAAA